ACTCCTCACGATAGGAACCATCCCAAAATAGCTGCTTTCACTAACTCAGTGAGTTGACGTTGATGCAAGGAGGTTTAATGATTACATTTGGCTTCCCAGTTACTTGCCATGAGCAGTAAGTTCTAATATATTCCAATATATTCCATAGCCAAGTGACTTGCTCCTAATCACTGCCACACAACTCCCTTCGAGGTTTTACCTCTGAAGATGCATGCCCAAGGCTGATATTATTTAACACATCACATGGAAACTGCAGGTAGGGCTGCTTATTCTCTTTCCTACCATTTCTAAACTGGTCGCGGTGGCCTTAGAAATGGTAGGAAAGCTAGGTAATACTAGCGAGCATCCCTTCTAACTGCATAAACAACACCTAACTAACTCAGGCCTAGTCTTCAAATTGAAAAGGATAGAACAAGGAAATAACTAGCATCTGGCAACAACCTCACACCCATGAAATGCACCCAAGACAAAAAGTTAAACTGCATTCAACCTGACACACAACCTAGCAAGAAACACAACCTAAGGAACAGTGCTGCTATGCCTTACAGGAGAAAAACTCCCATTTAAATTGTTACACATCAACATGTCAACACTTATGTTTCTTTGGTCAGGCAAAACCATGACTGTTCCAAACAACATAAATTTTTCTCACCCTTAATCAATCAGGTGGAAGGACAAACCCGTAAACGCCAGCTAATTGGGAAATTATCAAAGACCAAGGCCCAACTTGTAAAGACTAGTTCAAAACCCATGATAATTAATGGGACGTTACACCATTAGTCAAGTAAATGAATAGAATTGTTCTTTTTGCAAAACTACATAAAGTAACCAAAGGGGAAAAAAATGGTATATGTCAATCAATGAGTCAGTGATAGCATATTTTGTGCTAGTGTGGTGTGCGAAATATTATTTAGGTAGAACAGCTAATTTTGGCTGATCCCCCAAGGAGTTGCCACAATGGGTAGCTTTGCATGTTTGATTTTTTTTTTTTTACACTGGATGCCCTTCCTGACACAACCCTCAAAGGGATTTGTGACTAAATCAAACTAGGAACCTTTTGCCTGTTAGCCAAATGTGTAAACCACTACACTAGAAAAGCAAAAAGGTCTGCAGCATATGGAGTTAAGGATCACAGGAACACTAAGCCCAGGTGTTCCCAATCACTGATGACACAACTACACCACACCAAGCACCTGCAACACAAAACAAAAAGATACTAGCTCTTCTAAACACACTAGCGAAAAAGAAAAGACAACCTGCAGCATGCAGCAGCTGAATAGACGAGGTCGTCAGAACGTACAGCGCAACAGTTATGATAAGAACAACTACATTTTCACTTTGTTAGGCAAGATGTTTATAAAGACCTTACATTTGACTGATTATTACTTCCCAGCATTTGTGAGAGGCTACTGTGCCAATTTAGTGGATACCTGCTCTCAGATGTCCCACCACATCAGCTAGGCTTCCCTTCTTAACCTTGGTGATGAAGGCTCCTAATCTCCCTGACTCTGTTACTCTGCCTCCCACCACCTGAAGAGAAGCAGACAGCAACAGTTAGTGAGAAATATCTGACAAGTGGACAACACAGGATGGCTCAGTTAGAATTAATAGACAGAAAAATAATTTAAGAAACTGTTTGCATGTCTGTGTGACCTCTGACCTTTAACCCCAGTAAAGCGCCAGCTTCTTTCGGCATGGCAGCAGTTCTCTTGCTGAGGGTGATCCGTCCAATCAGATGGTCTCCCTCCTTGGATGGCTGCCAGGTTACAGGATGCTGCAGCAGGACACAGGAAATGGTAATAAAAATGAGCAAAGTGACACTCAGACACATTCACAAATATGCACACTCACTGGTATTTACTTCATATATACTTTGACAAAACACTTTGAAAACTATCAATAATTTTAACTGATTACAGAGGTAGCTTTAAAAGACATAAGATCTGGCTTTTCAATTCAAATTTTAAGTGCACAAAAGTCTTGTTTCCTAAAAGTTGTTTCTAAGAGAAAAGTGGATACTACTCATAGAGCTAGGGTCTGAATGGTAAGCTTAACCAAGATAATTACCTCCTAGCTTCAACTCAGTACTTACTGTAAAACTGTGAGACTGAAATCAGTTTTTTATTTTCATTTTTAAAAACTTTGATTACCAATTTTCATTCTGGATTCATGTACTACACTGATAAGTGTTTAATGGACAAGGCTTGAAGGCCACTCCAAAATCCAAAACAGGAAGCATACGTTTTGCCTTATTTTTGTAACAGGCTGAATTTCTGTCTATACTGTAGCTGTAAAAGATGCGAGCTCTGATAAACCAGGATTTCTTTTGGATTTTTATCTTACTGACTGGACTTCTACTGGCCACAGTACACAGACTGCATTTAGCTCTGCTCTAAGAAGCCTCGATACAGCAGGACTGACTCATTGCAGTGCAGCTATAAAGATAATGAGTGTAACTCTCCCACAGGTACAAGAAGAAATCATACTACACTTAATGTTTTAATAATTTTAGGTACCATAACAAGAGCTGTAAGCCCATATTGGACTATTTAAAACTTCATAAATTATTTATCACTCTCAGTTAGCTGCCACACAGCCCAGATCAGACAGCTGAGCTGAGTGTATTAATTCAAATAATTCAAAGTCAGTATCTGCCTTTGTAATTATAGCATCATTGTTTTGGCATGGATATGTACCATATATAACATGACCTCTCTAGACTCAGCCCACAATGATTGATTTTAAACCAGGGTTTTTAAGTCAATGGTCACCACCACGGTCTTTAACAACATAAACATACTATCCATGTACTTCACAACAGTAAAGTAACCATAGTCAATAACCATAAGACATCATGTGTTTTACATTAATAGATTCTTCAGAAAAATTGAAAAAACAAACTTTGTGGTAAGACAGGAGGATCAGACTGTAAAGAGACAAACACTCCATTTGGCACTATTTGGTACTCCAGTACATCCACATAAATGTTTACACACTTGGGACTTTAATTAAAATACAACAATAACACCTGAACAACTTCATGCTGATTCTCAAAACTAGCTTTAATGTATGAAAAAATATTAATCAGAAGGAAAAACACTGACTTACATGCCACACAGTGGGGTCATGTGGGTAGCATTCCCAGTCGCCTGCAAGAGAAGAGAGATCAGATCAGCTGGATAGATGTGGAAGTCGCAGAGGAAACAATGACCTCCCTTATATCTCCTTCTTCTTCTTCGCGCACGCACGCACACACACACACACACACACACAGACACACACACACACACACACACCCTGTATACACAGCACATACCAGGAGTCCTCACACACACAGCTCAGCCAAATTTGGGGGCTCTTCAGGAGGTACTTGTTTACAATGGGGAGGCTTAAGTTTATTGAAAATTCAAGCCTGGGCTGGAATTAGAAATGTATCACCACGGCAGCAGGTGGCCTAAAAAGTTTTCCACTGAGGCAGCGATGACACCAACGGATGGTTAAGCCTTTTAAAACGCTTTAAATCCATCCAAGACACTTCAGAGATTAGGTGTTATTGATCTCCTCCAGGGGTAATGCCACAATGTAAGGCCAAATACAAGCACAAGCATGTCAATAACAGATATTTTCTCACATTATTTAGGTATCGGGCATAGGTTGAGCCAATGAAACAAATATAGATATGTGGTAATAAATTATATGTGTTAATAAATATGTTTTGATAACCACTAAATTGATTCACTTATTAAGTGATAATAATACTAACGATCAGTTTTAAAGCTGCTATACATCATAAAAGTTAATATTGTTAAAGTCTAAATCACAAATTAATTTCCAGAAAGTTCTATTGTCTTTTAACATGGAGCATTTATTGACCGTTCTGACAAAATTATAAAAATTAAATATTATTTGCACATATTTTGCACTTTTTCTACACCCAAAATTTTTTGCAATTTATTGCTTAAAAATGTATCGTGCAATTTACTTTTTTTTCTGGGGAGTCCAACCGGTCGCAGCAGATGAACCACCCTTGCGTGCACCTGGTTCTGCTGGAGGTTTCTTCCTGTTAAAGGGGAGTTTTTCCTTCCCACTGTCGCCAAAGTGCTTGCTCAGAGGGGGTCATACAATTGTTGGTCTGTCCTCTGTTGTCTTTATATGATTGTAGGTCTATGCCTTAGAAAATGTTGCTATGATTTGGTGCTGTATAATAAAAACTGAAGTGAACTGATGTAGTCTTAAAAACTCTCAAACCCTGTATGTATCAATCATGATACACGAGACATTGAGGGTTAAATGCAAAGATATCGTTATGGAACTTGACAAAAGTGAGCTAAATAAATGCTAAAATTAAAGCTATTTAAATATTCATTCAAGTGCTTTTCAAAAGTATACAGTGCAAGAAACTGAGCACAAAAGTAAGAATAAAGTTATTAAAATGAGTAATTAATGATTAATGTTTTCTTTGTGTCTTTAAAATGTAAATTGCAGAATCACTTAAAACTGAAATGCAAAATGTTATTTCAAATTAATAAACACAGACTTTAAAGGTCATTTTTTGTAAATAAATTTATAAATCTTCCAAAACAAATCTAAGGCATCAACAGGTTTTAGAAAAATAACCGACATAGCTTTATGCCCCAAAAAATCGATATATTTTGTTGAAGAGATATCAGCTGAAATCAAACTAGGCTCAGCCATACTTTTATCTATACCACAAGTAGACGTAGCACGTCAGCGTCACCTTTGTTTACGCAGGCAAGTCATTTACATATTCAGATTTACAGTGGTAGCCTCCTAAGGCAAAACCTCTTTAAGAAAAGGACTAAAAATAAATATCAGGAAAGGCAGCTGGGTTTTTCTTATACTTTGTGGATAATAATTACAAAAGTAACTTTGAACCAAAAATCAGCGAGTGAGTAGGTTAAAAAGGAATTTTATAGCACTTTTTGTCACGGACCCAGTTCCAGGGATTCGGGGTCCATGAGCAGTGTGGACTACTATTGTAGTTATTATTATTATTATTATTATTATCATTATTGTGGTTGTTGTTATTATGGTTGTGTCTGCTGTCCTGTTTTTCCGTGTTGGTGTACTGTCAGGTGTTTAGGGGTGTGTGCTTGTGTATGTGAGGGTGCGGTCGTGGCAGGCACTTTTAGGCCTGGTGGGTGTGGCCCTGCCAGCTGACCGGTCCCACCCAGGAATCCACACACACCTGGCGCCGATCAAGCCTCGTCAGAGGAGCTTCAAAACAGTGTGGCTGAGAGCTCCTCGACGCTGGATCGTTGAGTGACTTCCCGTCAGTCTTAAGTGTATTGTGCAAGGTTAGTGCAAGTCTACTGTTAGGTTTTGTACTCACGGCTGCCTTTGGTATACGTGTTTCCTCAGGAGGAATTGTGGCGACCAGGAGGCAGCACACGGAGAGTACACAGGGAACGGAGACAGAGCACGGAGCACGGGATAAAGGAGAAGACACGGAACGGGAGTTGGGATCGCACGGGGGGATTTATTGTTGTTCGGATTGTCACCACTGTAAATAAACACTGTTGCACTGTAGAGTCCTGCATTTTGGGTCCTCCTTTCCCCACATCCCCACGGTCTGCCAGCGAGACCGTGACAGAACGATCCAGCCATTATGGGCCCAGCGGACTCAAGGACCGTCTCACAGGAGGAATTGCTCGCCCAGCTCTGGAAATACTGTCGGAGCATTATCCAGGCGGCAGATCCACATCAGAGACACTTACAGGTCGTATTTTTTGATTCCTTCTTATCATCAATCACCTCATCTGTGAGCTTTTTGGACATTAAGAGACTAATTTCGATTATAACCACGCTGAGGGAAAGTTCCTGTTTTGAGCTGTTTGGTTTGGGCTGTCCGGGCGAGGAGGATATGGCAACCTCCCTGGGAGCCCTTGCTGCCTATTTCTTTTTTCATAGGCTGATAGCCTCCCCGCCGTCGCTTGCAGCTCGTTTGTTGGACCCTCCATTGCGGGGGAAACGTTTCACACGCCCTCTGCACCTCACCACATCTCCACTCACCTCTGCGGCACCTGCTGAGTCAGCAGACCAAGGACCGGCAGCTCAAAATCACACAGCTGCTCTCCTGTCCGGCCGGCTGGTGGAACCTCAGCCTGATACGCTGGCCCCGGCATCGTTAAAGAAGCGACGCTTGCGCCGCCGGCATGCCTCACCGCAGTCAGACTCTAAAACTTTCCAACAGCCGGCTGTGGTGAGTCATATGGACAATTCATCTTCATTCACCTCATCTGTTTATTCACGGGACTGTGTGAAAGCTAACCTCGTAGCACAGCCAGCTGCCCAGCCTGTAGCCGTAGCACAGCCAGCTGCCCAGCCTGTAGCCGTAGCACAGCCAGCTGCCCAGCCTGTAGCCGTAGCACAGCCAGTCCAGTCAGCCTCTCGTCTTCATCCTCAGTTGGAGGCTGATATGCCTGCTGGAACTACCCTGCCATTATGTCACCCGCCTGTTGTTTCTACATCGCTGTCCAGTCTACCACGAGTAGCTGCCGCACCATTATCACCTCCGCCCTTTGCAGCTACTTCTCCACCAGCGTCCCATCAGACTGCAGCGACCGCAGAACTCTCGACTTCACCATCCACATCACCCGCTCGACCGTCATCTTCGCCACCTGCAGCTTCCGCATCGCCATCTTCACCTCCGGATCAACGACCATCTATACCCGCGTTGCAGCCGGAGGAGCGGCTCAGCGAGCGGGAGGAGCCCGCGTCGCCAGCTGTGGAGCTCAGCGAGCCGGAGGAGCTCAGCGAGCCGGAGGAGCTCAGCGAGCCGGAGCAGCTCAGCGAGCAGGAGCAGCTCAGCATGCCCGAGCGGGAGCTCAGCGAGCGGGAGGAGCCCGCGTCGCCAGCTGTGGAGCTCAGCGAGCAGGAGCAGCTCAGCGAGCAGGAGCAGCTCAGCGAGCCGGAGGAGCTCAGCATGCCCGAGCAGGAGCTCAGCGAGCGGGAGGAGCCCGCGTCGCCAGCTGTGGAGCTCAGCATGCCCGAGCAGGAGCAGCTCAGCGAGCCGGAGCAGCTCAGCGAGCCGGAGGAGCTCAGCGAGCCACCAGCAGAGGAGCTCGGCGAGCGGAAGGAACAACCGGCGCTGCCAGCCGAGGAGGGGCTCTCGCTGCCAGCCGAGGAGGGGCTCTCGGCTGCCAGCCGAGGAGGGGCTCTCGCTGCCAGCCGAGGAGGGACCCGCTCAGCTGGAGGTCAGCGAACCGGAGGGACCTCCACGTCTAGCGCGGCCTCCACGCCATCCACGTCCAGTGCGTCCACGTCAGCGACCGGCGCGTCATAGACCATGTGCCACGCCTCGCTGTTGCTCACCGGAGCAGCGACGTTGCCATCGGACCCGTGGCAGGCCACCAGAACCGTTCCGCCGCCACCGGACCCGTGGCAGGCCGCCGGAGGAGCTGCGCCGCCGCCACCGGACCCGTGGCAGGCCACCAGAACCGTTCCGCCGCCACCGGACCCGTGGCAGGCCGCCGGAGGAGCAGCGCCGCCACCACCGGATCCGTGGCAGGCCGCCTGAAGCGTTCCGCTTCCATCATGGGGTTGGAGGTAGGCCGCCCGAACTGTTTTCCCACCACTGCCTGACCCGTAGCGGGTTTTGCCTGCTTGCGGTCCACTGGGTCGGCCGCAAGAACTGTTGTTCCCACCATGGCAGTGGTTGGACATTTGAACTGGGGTTTTGGGGCCCTCCGTCCGGGACCCTCCGCCGCCCGCCCGGGGTTGGTTGTACTGTGGTTTTTGTTTTGTTTTTGTTTTTGGGTCGTGGGGTGCCGACCCTTAATAATAATAATAATAATAATAATAATAATAATAATAATAATAATGGATACTTTATTGATCCCCATGGGGAAATTACTTGTTTTTCTCTGCATTTGACCCATTCACTCAGTGAAGCAGTGGGCAGCCCACTAAGCAGGCGCCCGGGGAGCAGTGTGTAGGGACGGTACCTTGCTCAGGGGTACCTCAGGGTAGCCGTTAAGTGGATTCGAACCGCCGACCTTCCGATCATGGGGCGACCACTTTACCTACTGAGCTATCCCTGCCCTGAGCTATCCCTGCCCATGGGGGGGATAGGGGATTAGAGGGGGGGTACTGTCACGGACCCAGTTCCAGGGATTCAGGGTCCGTGAGCAGTGTGGACTACTATTGTAGTTATTATTATTATTATTATCATTATTGTGGTTGTTGTTATTATGGTTGTGTCTGCTGTCCTGTTTTTCCGTGTTGGTGTACTGTCAGGTGTTTAGGGGTGTGTGCTTGTGTATGTGAGGGTGCGGTCGTGGCAGGCACTTTTAGGCCTGGTGGGTGTGGCCCTGCCAGCTGACCGGTCCCACCCAGGAATCCACACACACCTGGCGCCGATCAAGCCTCGTCAGAGGAGCTTCAAAACAGTGTGGCTGAGAGCTCCTCGACGCTGGATCGTTGAGTGACTTCCCGTCAGTCTTAAGTGTATTGTGCAAGGTTAGTGCAAGTCTACTGTTAGGTTTTGTACTCACGGCTGCCTTTGGTATACGTGTTTCCTCAGGAGGAATTGTGGCGACCAGGAGGCAGCACACGGAGAGTACACAGGGAACGGAGACAGAGCACGGGATAAAGGAGAAGACACGGAACGGGAGTTGGGATCGCACGGGGGGGTTTATTGTTGTTCGGATTGTCACCACTGTAAATAAACACTGTTGCACTGTAGAGTCCTGCATTTTGGGTCCTCCTTTCCCCACATCCCCACGGTCTGCCAGCGAGACCGTGACACTTTTCACAGATAAAAAGCCATAAAGTGCTTCACAATAAAACACAAGAAATAAAAGCATAACAATTTAAAGCCACAGAATAAAACATAGTCTGTATAAACATGGGCTCAGCTGCTTTGTGATGGAGTTAATGGAGGCTATACAACATAAAGACAGTGGAAGAGAATTCCACAACCTCGGTGCCACTGCCTGAAATGCCCAATCTCCTTTTCTATTAATTAATTATTAATTTATTCCTAAGACTGTGTTTAGCTCTAGCTCGTGACGTAGACCAAAATCCAAAGCCTGTACACACGGGCTGCAGGGCAGTGCTGCACTGTGCGCAGGACCTGGACGACACTGTTATGACACAGAGTAAAACAGAGCCGAGCATTCCTAGGAGCCGGGGAAGCTATGAGGTTAATGGCTTGGGACAACTTATAGTGATATTATGTAATCTTAAAGCAAATGCTCAACCCAGTTCTTAGTTTCATAATTTGAGCGTGAACATAGTTTCATGCAGTGGGTGAGCCACATGGCTGCGAGTGTGTATTGTTTTTGTGTTTCGGCACTTTTAATGGCAACAAAGAAAGAGAAAACTCCACTACGGGCTCAGGACACGGTTTTGAACACAACTTGGAATGGGACTTTAACAACAAATAATATTTTTCACGTTTCCTAAAAGAGACAGTGTGAAATAAGCCCTTTAAAAATAAACCTTTACGATCCTAATAATAGAATATTTACAGAAACCCATCAATGTTTCATGGCCTACAAGGAGCCTTTGTGGAGGGTGAATCCACACATAAGGTTTGTCCATGAAATTAACAGGCAAATAGTTACCGTGTGTTAATTTTATGACATTTCTGGTGATTTTACTTTGACTGTGGCTAAAAATTCTTTGCTTATGCAGGAAAAGCCTTGGCCACATGGCCTAAATAAAATGTATTCTCTATAAAGAAGAACCTGCAGTTTGACCAAAACCACGGGAACCGAATTTATCCGGTCACAGCTCAACAAGACTTTGGCATTTTGTTTTTACAGTGTTCTTAAAACCAAACAAAGAGGAGCAAAAGCATTTGGAAGCTGCAAGTGTTACCATGCACAGCTAGCTAGCTTACTATCTCTAATAGAGCATTAATTGGTCCAGGATCAGTATTACAACTCAGCAATTACATTTTCTGAGCATTCAGCTAGCAGGAGTCAGCCAATTCTTTTTAACTATCACTAGCAAACCAACATGAGTAGCCTAAATTTGCCTAAAACAACAAACCTAACTTAATAACATATTTATTATGTTGCATAAATTAATAAAGAAAACACTTGCAATGCTTACCATTTATTCCAGAAGAAAGTTTTACATAACCACAGGCTTTTTTTATTGCGATGCTATAACATCACAACAACGTGATTGGTCAGTTGTAATGCTGATCATGGACAAACATTATTACGAAAATACAAGAACAACACCAACACAGGGATACAGATACACCCTCTAATAGTAAGTTATAATTACTTTTTTACATTTGTAAGGATTAGAGATTGCCTTGCTTTTGAAGAGAGACCCAGATGGCCACTTGAGGACTCGAAACAATAAGTTCAGTTGGAGCAGCCTCTCTCTGTCTCTCGCTAGCAAAGTTGACCCAGACAACAAAGTAAAGCTAGTTTTCGGCTACGAGCCCGACACAGAATCCAATGTATCACTCAGAAGTCCCTTTACTACTGTTCAGAGCTGCGGACCTGTTTTATATACACGCGGAATAGTTTTCTATACGAGATCGCTGCAAAAAGTGCAGCCTTACC